ATTTAGCAAGAAAAAAAAAAAAAGCAGTATGGCAATCTTCTTATCAAAGTAGAGTTCAAGTCATGAAGCATGAATCAGGAAGATTATTTTATCTTGATAACAGGTATAGACTACGCGATGGAAAGTTTTGCAAAGCAACAGCAAAACATAAAGCAAACACTATTAAGAGGAAAGTTAGCTATGGAAGAAAAATAAGATTGCAGAGAATTTGAACATAATTAATATGTTTGAATTACCAAAGAACGAACAGGATAAACCTTAAAAGGTGGCTGTGTTACTGTCACAAAAGGCGATCAATCTTTCTTCAGGCTACAAAGGAAACTCAAAATTCACAAAGGAGCAACATCACGAAAAATAGTCTTTACTATCTCGATACATGGGAAAAAGAACAAAAAAATGTAAATGAAACCCTCCAAATGGGTGAAAAGTAAAAAGCATCATCCTAAATGAAATTATTTTCTTACAAATGTTTAGATCAAAGAAAATCTATGAAGTACAACTGGAAATTATTTGGAATAACAACTATAGGAACATTATTAAGCACAAGGAAATGTGGTCAGTCTTACTTAGAAGAAATATGCAGCCTCAAAACCTAAAAACTGTAGGTGAGGTGGTGCATGCCTGCAGTCCCAGCTACTTGGGAGGCTGAGGCAAGAGAATCTCAAGTTCAAGCCCAGCCTGGACAAAACAGTGAGACCCCCATCTCAAAATAAAATAATATAAAAAGAACAGAAAAGGAAAAAAGAGAAAAAGAAAAAAATCCTAAAACTGTGCTTGCTAAGAAAATAAACAAACGCAGTACTCCTTCTAAATGGTTATGAACAGCACAAAAATTTCTACCCCAAATTAGGATAAATAAGATAAAAGCAGGAATTAAAATATTAGGAAATACAAAGGACATTACAGTAGTCGCCCCTTATCTGAAGGAGAATCATTCCAAAACCCTCAGTGAATGTCTGAAAAGCAGATAGTATCAAACCCTATATAGTCTATGTTCATAAATTAGGCACAGTAAGATTTAATCACCTCTATTATTCAATATTGTTCTCAAAGTGTTTGCTAAGATAAGAAGCAAACAATAGCAAAACAACAGTAACCGCTTCAATGTTGCAAAACAAATTTAGGACATTTGCAAATAATTAATGACTGCAAAGTTAGAAATCCTAAGAACAACAAAAAAAAGAAGTAGGAATTCATAAAATAATTTTAGAGCATAGCTGGAAATAACAAATATACAAACATGAACAGGTTTGGTCTATCCTAGTTAAAAAAAAAAATGTATCAGGGAACAAATACTCATTCACAAAAAAACAAGACATCAAATGTTTAAAAATCACCTTAACAAAAATGCACAGGATTTACATAAAGACAGGTGAAGCGGTCTGAAAGAGCACGTGAGACCGTACGATACAGAGAAGCAGATCTGAGGGCTGCAGACAATGTGACCGTGCAGGATTTGAGAGAGAAGTGTTGATGCAGTACATTAACGCCAATGATACACAACACGACCGAACTTTTCACTGTAATGTTATTAATCTCCTTAATTATGCTAGTTAACACAATGCGTTACAGCTTTTAGGAAGCAGAGGGCAGTGAGGCGATAGACAGACCACGATTTATTTCCTTCTGTGTTAGTCACTCAGCCGTTGCATTCTGGCGAAGCGGCAGGGGTGCACCCAGGCTGGAGTGAACCTGGACTTGTGCACACGTGAGCTGTCTCGGCAAAAAACGGGGCATCGGCAGAGGTCAGATTCACAGCGAGCATCTCTGGGGCCGAGAGGAGGGCCCCCACCTTCTTCCTGGCCAGGTGTGCCTTCCAGGGTCCCAAATCCATCAACATTGGCTGTAACTTTTGAGGTTTTCTGAGGTGACCCAAACTATTTATTGCCTTGGCGTCACAAGCAATTATTTGGTCAGAAAAAGGGCCAAAGTTCATTCTAAGAACAAAATTCCTCTGCAAAAGCGTCGTTCGTCATTAAAGTGACATGCAGCCGCATCACAAGAGGCTCTCTGTGCCAATTCTACAACCGTAACAGACTCCAAAAACCGCAAATACAGACAACACAGTTTCTGTACAAAAACCACCGAGGGGAGGAGGGGGGTTCCCGAGGGCTCTGTTTGGGGAGCTGAGCCCGGGCGGGGTCAGGGAGGGCGGGAGACCTGAGGCGAGCTCTGAAGGGTGCGCTCAGCACCACCCGCAGGTCACCAGGCACGCTGGGGCTCCCCGAGTCCTCTCTTAGGAACAGAGACAGCACCCGGGCAGCTGGCCCAGGCGGGAGGGGGCCCTGCCAATGTGTTTGTTAGATATTCACAGTGGCCACGAGAGTCAGTGTCCTGTGTTGGAGGTTTCTCCTCAGTATCTTTTTTTTTTTTTTGAGACAGAGTCTCACTTTGTGGCCCAGGCTAGAATGAGTGCCGTGGCGTCAGCCTAGCTCACAGCAACCTCAGACTCCTGGGCTCAAGCGATCCTCCTGCCTCAGCCTCCCGAGTAGCTGGGACTGCAGGCATGCGCCATCATGCCCGGCTAATTTTTTCTATATATGTTAGTTGGCCAAACCTCGAGCAATCTGCCCGCCTCGGCCTCCCAGAGTGCTAGGATTACAGGCGTGAGCCACCGGGCCCGGCCCTCTCCTCAGCATCTTTAGTTATGCAAGTGGCAAATTTTATCCCTGCCACTTCTCTCCACAGGATGCCCCAACGACACAAAATCACAGGAGTTCGTCACAAGATGCCTGGAGAAAATACACAGATGAGTCCAGAGACAACTTAGAAACCTTTTCAGATAACCAGGTGAAAGAGTGAAAGGGGAAGGAGAGAGCAAAGGACAAAGCAGAAGTGACCGAAAGGGTGCAGAAGGCAGGCGGGGCGCCGACAAGAGTCTTCCTGAGGGGCATGTGCGCTTTGGTTCCAGTCGCGCTCTACTTGGCTAAAGGCACTCACTGACACTGCAGTTGTTTTCCCTAGGAGTGGCGATGGTGGCTTCTTGATTCTGTTGAGAACTTCCAAAGTGCCAACTGAAACAGGCTTCCCACAGTCTCTGGGAGGTTATTTTCTGTTTTAATTGTGCTTGCAGACTGGCAAAAAAAAAAAAACAAAAAAAAACAGAGACCCCAGTTTGGCCAACAAGTTTTAAGACGACCCTGGTAATTTCTGTGCAGAGACCGAGCCAGTTACAACTCCTGGGCCCATGGTTTTGCTCACAAAGCCCAGCTGGAGCGAACTCAACGCGCGCCGCGCTGACCAGCTGAGGTCGGTGCCCTGCGCGGGAGCAGCACCCCAAAACCCTACAGACGGCCGAGTCCAGCTGGGAAGGCCCCCACACCCCAAGCCTGGGGCCGAAAGGAAGGTGCGGGGGGGTTTCTGGGTGGAGGGGGCCTATGAGGAGGGAATAGAGTCTCTGAGACCTCAACCAAAGTGTAGGAAGAGTCTGAACTGGAGAGAACTTACTCTAGCTGCGCCCCCGCCCCCGCCCTGCTGAGCACTCAGCTGAGCTCAAGCGCCTTTTGTATGCACTCATGCGTTGGTCCAGGGGGTGCTGGGAGGAAGGTCAGGCGTTGCTTCGAATCCTGCTTCTGACACCAAGCATGTAAACGAAAGTTCTCCGGAAAGGAATTTGGAGGAAAGACTATTCCAGCGGCCAGTTTGCAAAGCGGGGACGTGTAGCCTTCGGTGCAAAATAAAGGTGCGTTCTGGGGAACGAGCAGAGAGTTTGGCTTTTGTAGAGAAACCTCCCGTCCAGGTGCCCAATCAAGTCCACTACTGTGAAGGAAGGGCTCAAACTTGCTTAGCTCTGATTGGTCGACACAGCTGAACCCTGGTTGGTAGATACAGCTGAAACTGAGCTCTAACTGGTCCATACAGCTGAGTTCTGGAAGTTCCAAAGTTGAACAAAGGTGAGAGTTTTGGGGGAATTCAGAGCACATGTGTGACTGCTAGCTAGTTAGCAAACCACCGCTTTGCTCTATTTTAAATTCAGGCCCAGTTAGCCACGAGGGATCCATCTTGAAGAACTGGCTCTTTCAGCTTCACATTTGTTCATGCCTCGGATGCTTGAAGTGTCACTAAAGTAAAAAGTCTGTTTCAGGACACTGTTTTGCAATACTTGAGAGGGACTTCAAAAAAACAGAACCTTAGAAAACTCTAGTTCCACTTAGAGGAAGAAGAAAAGCCATGTTAGATCAGAGAACACTGATGGCTCATGGTGAGTGGCCCTCGACAGGAAGGCTGCCTGCTGCGCCTCCTCACTGCCACCTGTGGGTCCGAGAGTCCCCGCACAGGACAGAGCAGCTTACTTGCGAACTGCCACCGGCACTCGCCCTGCCCGGTGACATCACCTGGCTGGCTGGAACAAGTGCCAGATGCCTCTGCCCAGCCTCGGACAGGCTTCTTGGGGCTTCCTTCCCTATGTCCAAGTTCTCAGTGGGTGACAGTGCGGTCTGGCATGTGTCTCCAGGCTGCGACTGCCACAGTGGGTGCCCCAGGCCTCTCTGGCCTCCCCAACAGATCACCCCCTAGGTCGGGGGGAGGCAGCACCTTGAAGAAATTGTTGTAGGGGCTGTAAAAAGGGACAGTGACATTTGTTTTTCCATAGAGGCCATCAAAGACAGTTGTAAATTCCGGTCTTGTGCATACTTAGCGATATGTAGCCAAAAGAGGTAAATTTGAAGTTAGAAAAGTCATCAGCAGTAATCACCCACAGCTACAGATCCCTGACCTGTTCAGCCTGATTCCAGTCTGATTAGCTTATTAAGTAGCTTACACATTTACTAGGAAAAAAGATGTGTCCTAGGACACATCAAGATGTGTCCTAGGGCACATCTTGAAAACAATGAAGTAGCAGGAAAATTACAGAGATACAATTTATAGAATCCCCGGAGAAACATCACTGGAGAGCTTCAAGTTGAAGATAGTTTCATTGACAATGCACTTAAAACAAAAATGGAATTAAAATTTTTCTGAACTTTGGGTAATCTTCAAACTTCTTAAGGTACCACCTGAAATAAGAAAAAAAAAAATTAAAAAAGGAATAGTTTCGTTACTTAGCCATTTAACAAATGCTAACGGAAGTGACAATATCTTTCATAATTAGAGAGTACCGAGTTCTTTTAAAAAGTAGTAATTAAAAACTTTGGCGCTTCCTATAGTTTAATTTTATCTATATCATAAACAGTTAAATATATCTCATCCTAAAGTATGATTCAGAAGAAGTCCCCCATGCAACCCATCTTTCTGTCAGGAAGGGAAATCACAGACATCTGTGAAACGCTGATGCCCACACTTTGGAGCGACCTTCCCCTGACCCTGGTGGGCGTGCGGACCCGAGGGAGGGCAGGACCACCCGCTGTTTCTTGCGTATCTTCTGGTGGCCAACAATTTTCCCCAGGCCCCAGTGGAGAGCCGGCCCCACCCAGGGTCTGCAGAGGGGGCCCCCGGCCACGTGTCCAGGGCTCTCAAACAGGGATTAATAAGGATTCAGGAAAACCCGGAAAAATGCAGTATGGCGTCATCTGTGATTTAGCCCTGAGCTCACAACAAACAGGATCTCCAGTTTTGACACAAATTCCATCAACGGAGGCACTCTCTCTCGCTTTGGGGCAACAGCCACCTGGGAAGGGGGGCAGCTAAGTGGATGAAGTAAAAATGAAAACCAATTTGAAGAGATGGAGAAATAGAAAAATGGGGTTTCTATAAGCATAAAAAATGTTAAACAGGCTAAAAATCGTGACAGAAAGCAATTAGTGGCTTGTTAATATGGCAGAAATGCATGAAGACAACAAACTGAAGGTGAGTCAGCAAAACCCTGCTGTTCTCAGGCACGTTTAACACCGTAATCCTCAGGTAGAGAATCAGAAAATACTGGAGTGCCAGGTTCGCTTTCACATGCGGCTCTGTGGACCCCAAAAGGCAAGCAGTAACAATTCAGGACCTCTGGGTCAGGCGTCACCTCCCCTGGCCCAAGGCCCAGTGACAGCCCCGTGGCTCAGTGATACGCATGGAGATGACCAGGGACTGACGGCTCACAGCCCAAGTGACTGGCGTGAAGGTGCGTCACAGACGTTTTTGCCTGTTCGTCACTGGAAGTGTTCACGGCCTGCTGGGGGCCTGGCCCATCCATCACCTGCAAGTTCCCGAGAGCTTCCCCGTGAGCTGGCGGCGCTGGGCACCCCCGAAGGAGTTGGGAGGTGAGCTGCTCTGTCCCTGAAACTGCCCAGGGAAGACGGACGCGCTGGCCCCGAGGAAGCCAGGCCGGAGCAAACGACAGCAGGAGAGCTTAGGACCGGCACAGACAGGACGGCAGGCAGAGACGTGAGACAGGACGGGTCGGGGACAATGGGACCGCTCCTCCCAAAGTGCCGGGCGGCAGGGCCGGGCCCCGCATCGTGTCAGGAAGAACATTTGCTAGGCCGGAGCGTTCTCACTGCATAAAGGCACAGTCACCAAAGAGGTTAAATTCATTTCACAGAAACCGTTATATGGGAATAAAATACACATTAAATGACTGGAGTAAAATTTTCTTATTTAATCGCTGAGGTCACAGATTCACCCCAAGAAATTATATTTTATAATTTATAAATATGTGTGTGTGTATACATATATATATTTTTTAAAGGGCAAACAGCATGAATTCTGTTGTTTGTCTCATTTGTTTTTCTATACCTAGAAGGAAAGCTGTCACCTGCGTGACCCTGAACGAGGCTGGGCGTTGATGGTTCTGCCTTGACTGTGTTACTTCCGAGCCTGAGCTGAAGTCCCCTGGCCTTCGTGTGGAAAGCCACGTGGCCCCCACCCACGGGACCGCACTCCACGGCACCCGGGTCACGCCGGGGGAGGGAGCCGCCCCAAGTGTTGCTCCCATGGGCTACGGCTTTCGTGACGCACGGGCGGCTTGGCGCTGCCCCGCCCGCTAACGCAAGTCTTCCCTGGGCGCGCCCGCCACCGGTGCCACCGGACGGGCACTGACGACTCGCGCTTAAGTCTGGTGAGTGGAGGGCCGTGAGAACAAGGCAGCGTTCCATAAATATTCTTGCATGCCCTTATTTTTCTAAATCATTACACCGTCGGTCATGTCTTGAAGGCACACTGAATTCGTTTCTAAAGTGACATAAACTTAACAGGTAGGCGCTGCAATGATTTCTTTGAATGCTGTCCCCTCATAGCTGGCCTCCAAGTTCAGGTGCTCAGGCGTGTACAAGCACACATCTGTACCCAGACTATGATTTCACAAGGCCTGTGCCGCCAGCGCACAGTTCTGTTAAGTGAGCGTGGCCACGGGAAGCTGGCGAGGAAGAAGACAGTGTGAAAACACTCCCTCTTAGAATTCCTTTAAATCCCACCCTTGAAAGAGAACATCTGTTAGCAACCTTGCACCTCTGATCCAATGTTCCCCAGCTAGAGCTTAAACTGTCAATGCAATCATTTAGGAACTTAAATACTAGCTATTCTAGAAAGAAGTTCACTGTAGTACAATACTGGTTTTAGGACATTACAATAAGTCGAGTATAGTGCAAGGAATAGCTCTGTGGAGTGTTTTCTTTCACAATCAATTTATTTGATGGTTTAATTAGTTGGGTTCACGGAATTATTTTTTAAAAAAGGGTAGTTTTTATTTTGCCCTCAACATGTAAGTCCAACATTTCTGAACACACACTTCTACGAAACGGAATTGATTAATTCTTTGGGATTTAAAATTGTTTCCAATTTAAACAGCAGATGCCTGACAAAGAGCCCTTTCAACTTATGAATTCTTCTACAAAGAACACCTTTGGGTTTTCATTAACAGAGACTTTCATTTAGAAAATGCGGTTATTTATTTTCCATTCCTATACGTTTCATAATCAAATACTGAGGAGAACTTCCCTGTTTCCTGTTTTATTTGAGAAAACATCTTCACAACTGACTTAATGTGCTCTTTTCCATCTTACTCTGATGCAATTTTTAAATGTGTCAGTGTTATTTGTTTTTATTACTGGAAATGAGCCCTTATTTGCTTCTTCACATCAAATATTAACAATGTAAATGAACAATATTTTCCCCTGGAGATGAAGACAGGAACACGAAGGTGGCCCTGGGGCCTTGCGCACTGGGCTGCCTAGGGCTGGCACAGGGCGGGGAGGAGGAGGAAGAAGAGGAAGGCCGTCTAGGCACACAGGACACAGGTGGGGCTGAGATCAGCTGGTTCCTGCAGTCATTGTTATGGCACGAAATCTACTTCTGTTTGAATTATTAGGTGGATACAAAAGGAATTGCGGTTTCAGACCGTGAATTTTTAAATCATCATAACTAGGCTCAAACACATCTTTATTAATCGAAATAGGAACCACTACAACCAACACATTTTTGCCAATGACAAATAAGTTTGTTTAATCCTGTAGCGTAAAAATCTGTGCTTTGGGATTTGACGAACTCTTGGAAAACATTTTCTGCATCCTGCTGGTTGTGGAAGCGTTTTCCCTGCAAAAAGTTGTCGAGATGCTTGAAGAAGTGGTGGTCGGTGGCGAGAGGTCAGGTGAATGTGGTGGATGAAGTGAAACCTCACAGCCCAATTCGTTCAACTTTTGCAGTGTTGGTTGTGTGACGTGCGGTCCGGCGATGTCATGGAGAAGAATTGGGGCCTTTCTGGTGACCCATGCCGGCTGCTGCAGGTGTTGCCGTTTTCAGTGCATCTCATTGATCTGTGAGCAGACTTCTCAGAAGGAATGGTTTAGCTGAGCTTTAGAAAGCTGTAGTGGATCAGACCGGCAGCAGACCATCAAACAGTGACCATGATGTTTTTTTGGTGCAAGTTTGGCTGTGGGAAGTGCTTTGGAGCTGCTTCTCGGTCCAACCACTGAGGTGGTCATTGCTGGTTGTTGTATAAAATCCACTTTGCATCACATCCCAACCCGATCAAGAAATGGTCCGTTGTTGCTGCATATAAGAAGACGGCACTTAAATGACGACTTTTTTGATTTTCGATCAGCTCATGAGGCACCCACTTGTTGAGCTTTTTCACCTTTCCAATTTGCTTCAAATGCTGAATGACTGTAAAGCTGTCGACCTTGAGTTCTTCAGCAGCTTCTCGTGTAGTTGTAAGAGGATCAGCTTCGAAGATTGCTCTCAATTCATTGTTGTTCACTTCCAATGGCCACCCACTGCACTCCTCATCAAGGCTCTTGTCTCCTTTGCAAAACTTTTTTTTTTTTTGAGACAGAGTCTCACTCTTTGCCCCGGCTAGAGTGCCGTGGCATCAGCCTCACTCACAGCAACTTCAAACTCCTGGGCTCAAGCGAGCCTTTTGCCCCAGCCTCCCAAGTAGCTGGAACTACAGGCGTGCGCCACCATGCCCAGCTAATTTTTTCTATTTTTGGTAAAGACAGAGTCCTGCTCTTGCTCAGGCTGGTCTTGAACTCCTGAGCTCAAATGATCTGCCCGCCTCGGCCACCCGGAGTGCTAGGCTTATAGGCGTGAGCCACCGCGCCCGGCCTCCTCTGCAAAACTTATTGGACCACCACTGCACTGTACGTTTGTTAGCAGTTCCCGGGCAAAATGCGCTGTTGAGGTTGCGAGTTGTCTCTGCTGCTTTACGACCCATTTTGAACTTGAATAAGAAAATGGCTCAGATTTACCTTGTGTCTAAAATGATTTCCTCAGTCTAAAATAACCATAAAATAAACAGCAAGTAATAAGTCACTAGCAAAAAACCACACAGTGAGAAATGTGCGCTAAAATGATATACAACAGAGCCACATGTATTTAGGGATATATTCTAATGTCAAACAGCAAATTCCAACAATGCCTAAACCACAATTACTTTTGCCCCAACCTTAATATTTTCTAAGCCTTTTTAAAATGTATATTCAGTTTAAAGTGATAGCATGTTATTTCAGCCAAGCCCGTGACACTGTCATCTAGCAGAGGAAACAGTGGAAGGCTTCAGAAATCTCACGCGCTGCGCCTTTATTTCCTAAGACCCCATTTGGAATGGCTGGAAGCTGGTGCCTCAGTTTCCTGCTGCTGTGGGAACGAAGCACCACCAGTAGGCTGGCTTCAAACCAAAGCACTTTATCCTCTCACGGTGCTGGAGGGTGTAAGTCTGAAATCCAGATGGCACCGGGACCACGCTCCCCCTGAAGGACGTTACACTTCGGTCTCTTCCAGCTCTGGTGGCTCCAGGTATCCCTTGGCTTGTGGCAACATCACTCCATTCTCGGCCTCCATCTTCACGTGGCCTTCTTCCCTCTGTGTCTTCACGTGGCCTTCTCCCCTGTGCATGTCTGTGTCCGAATTTCCCCTTCTTATGAAGACCCCGGTCACGTTGCAGTAGGTCCACCCTACGCCAGAGCGACCTCAGAGTAACTAATAGGCTCTGCAATAGCCCCGTGATCTCGTAAGGCCACACGCACAGGTACCTGGGGTAGGACTTCAACACGTCCTCTTGGTGGGCACGGTTCCACCCAGAACGGCAAAGTCCTTCCCGCGTCTCCTGGGGTCATAACACCTTTTCTGAAACCCTCTTTGCCTTTAGACTGTCTTTTTCAGCAGCTTTGGGATTTAAATAGGTGGCGGCTCTCAGGTCTAGCAATGTCCTCACTGCCAACGTGTCAAAATACCGAGCTCCCTGGCACAACGGAGTTTCTCGGAAAAGCGCAGGGCGTTTCTCTTAGGGATCTCGTCAGCTCTCACGCTTACGCCATAATGTCTTCAAATACTGGCCAAACAGACATTCTAGGTCTGGCCTTCCTCCTCCGTTATCTCCACAGTGGCCCTTCGCATCTGCACACACGCAGTGAGGCGGGGAGGCACCCCTATAGGTATTCTGACTTGAAAAGGCCTGTGCTTTTCCCACTCTGCCATGGCATCAATCTATTCTTTTGGCTTTTTGTCTCTGTCCTTGCTCCCCGAGGGGACGATAAACTCCATAAGTAGGACAGTGCTGCACGTTTACCCACAGCTCCGGCGCCAGCGGCATTGGAGAGTGCGGCGAAGCGCCTGGAGTGGACGATCCCAGGAAGCGGTGCGGTGCCCTCCGGTTCAGAGGACAGAAGTGAAAAGTGTGCACTCCAGGCCGGGCGCGGTGGCTCACGCCTGTCATCCTAGCACTCCGGGAGGCCCAGGCGGGCGGATTGCTCGAGGTCAGGAGTTCAAAACCAGCCTGAGCAACAGCGAGACCCTGTCTCTACTATAAATAGAAAGAAATTAATTGGCCGACTAATATATATAGAAAAAATCAGCCGGGCATGGTGGCGCATGCCTGTAGTCCCAGCTACTCGGGAGGCTGAGGCAGGAGGATCGCTTGAGCCCAGGAGTTTGAGGTTGCTGTGAGCTAGGCTGACGCCACGGCACTCACTCTAGCCTGGGCAACAAAGCGAGACTCTGTCTCAAAAAAAAAAAAAAAAGAGAGCACCTGAGGTCAACCCGCTTGCTAAGTCAAACTTCCACCGTTCGGCATCACAGGCACGTGCCAGCGTCAGGGCGGCTGAGGGACCGAGCTCTCTCCCTTCTCCATGGGATGTGCCTCCCGAGTGGTCTCACTCTGTTCCCACGCCTCAGTTTCCTCATCGACTGGATTGGAAAGATGTTCTGTACATCTAGTCCAGCCCCGGCATCCCTTGATTTCTTTTATGAGTTTACTGGTCAAATGGATCACAAGCTCTTTTAGGGATCATAAGAAAAAGCTGAGTACCCCCTTTCTAGAAAACTGTGTTATATTGGGGGGTACAGAAAGCCTCTGTAGCCCACCAGAGACCCCAGCTCCAGAGCTGTGCCCAGGCCGCCACACGGCCAGGATCTCTTGCACGCGTGAGTGGCGCGGGCCACCTGGCGCTGGGACCTGCCTCCCGCTGCGGGACTCCTCTAGCCGCAGCACGCACGATCCCGGCTCGCTCGCTCTGTGTTCTCAGTTTTAGCCGGCGATTTCCAACCCAGATCCCCCACGTGGTATTTAACTTGACCACTGGCTCCAGCAGCATAAATTCAGAGAGGCTGAGGATGTGGCGGAGAAAAACGCCTGCGCTGATGTGGATGGGAAGGTTCCCTACGGCTGGGTTATTCTGCAGACATTTGCTGGGTGTCGTCCTTGTCGGGGGTGTGGGGTGGGGAACCTGCAGCCTTGGGGCCGCAGGTGGCCTCCCGGATCCCCGAGGGTGGCCTTTTGACCAGGTTCAAATTCCACGGAACAAATCCTTTGAACAGAGGGATTGGCTCTGTGAAGTTTGGATTCGGTTGAGGGAGCCATGTGTGACCCCGAGGCCACAGGTTTCCCACCTCTGAGCGGGACTCAGAAGTTTAAATTAATATTGACATTTCAAACATCCAACCTGGCAATTGTTATCACAAAGTCAAAGAACAGATGAAAAACATCAAAAGTATTTTTAAAACTTACCGGTGATGCTGCTTTGCTATGGGCAGTAAAATGCAGAATGTGAACAGAGCGAAGGCCCCCCCGGGCAGAGACCAGCTGGCGAGCGCGTAGCCGCCCCACTCCACGATTTCTCCAAAATAGTTGGCTGCAGTTACGTATTCAAATAATCCCCCTGGAAGGAAACATAGACCAAAGTGGTGCATCACTACAAAATGATACCCAGTGAGACAATGACTTAACAGATGCTAGTGAACACTTACTTGGAGAACATAAATTCAGCTATGGAAAAACATAGCCTGTATAGAGTATTGGTCAAGGAGACATATTCAACATTACGAGCTTTACTACTCCACATGAAACTTCCGACAGCCCATTATATATTTATGTTGCTGCCTATTTATCTGAATATGCAAACCTGCAGTTACAGGGGAGGGCTTTAACACGCCGCTTCACCAGTTAACAGATCGTGCTGACAAAACCTAAGCGAGCACGCAGAACACAGAACCACAACTAACGAGGAGCCAGCTCGATAAAACGGAGCTACGTAGAACCCTAGAGCAACGACTTAAGAAAATGCTAATTTGCAAGCACAGATTCACTTGTTCATTCATTAAATCTTCACAAATGCACTGAGTCTGCATTATAGGCTAGGCACCTGGACAGACCCCTCCCCACATCTAGAACCAGCAACTCCAGCGCCATGAACAAGGGGGAGGGAAGGGCGGGGTGGGGGTGGAGGGGTCACTGTCACAGACAGAGAGGCTGGGAACGGGCCTCACTGGGCAGGTGAGGTGAGGGAGGATCCAAGGCCAGCAGGTGTTGGGGGCAGGGGCGCTCCAGGCAGGGGAAGGGCTGCAGCAAAGGCCAGGACACTCCAAGGACCAGAGGAGGGGCGGGGAGGGGGCCGCTGGCAGAGAGGGAGGGGACAGGAGGCCCCTCCTTGGGGGTCGCACTCAGGCTGCGGCTTTGCTGGTGAAGGGGACTGCTCAAGGGTGTTCTAGAGAAGCCTGGCATGACCTGCTCTGGGTCCTAGTGTGCCTCTCTGTTAGCCAAGCTGAGAATATTCCGTAGGCATATAAGGGCAGAACATTTTTTTTAAAACTGATTACACAAAACCAATTTCAACAAATACTGCAGCACAGCATGGAGACTGCATCTCTAAACACACAGCACGATGTGCCGGAGGGCTCCGGCTGCGGCTGAGCTGGTCTCCTTCTTAGAAACAGAGAAAATGGTTTTGCCGAGCCCAAGACAGCAAAGTACTTTTTTTTTTTTCGTTTGAGGAAGGTACGGTGCGTGGATGTTTGTAATAATCGAGTTCTCTACTTTTATGTAAGCTTGAAGTGATTCATAGTTGTGAAATAATGCCAGCATTCACTGGTAAGTAAACTTTTTTTATGATAAAATAAAATGTAAAAATGTAAAACTTAATGCCAAATAAAGATAACACCATTCATGTAGAAGGTGTGGGCTCACGTGCAGCTGCAGAAACATCCACCAGGACGTGCCCCAGAGCAGGTAACCCAGCGTTCCTTCTGAGTGTGGGATTTAATCAGTCGCACTTTGTGATTTACTCGTTTCTGTACCTGTCTCAATATTCTACAGAATTATGTCTTCGTCATCTGCATCTCATCAGGGCCCTGGGCAGCTGAATCCCAGAAGTGGGAAGACCTTTGCACTCTGCCATGCAAATGTCACCTTACCCCAAAGACAGACGGCTGGGGGCGGGGTTGGGGGGTGGAGGCTGGGACAGCGATGCCTGGCTGCATCATGAACAGTGACCCTGCCCTCCGGGTGCCCAGCATGGAAAGCACGCTATTTGGTGGAACCACATGGGTGGGCTGGGGAATGAGTAATTAGTTAAGAAAACCTGTACCGTGTTTCCCAGAAAATAAGACAGGGTCTTATATTTATTTTTACTCAAGACGACACCCTAGGGCTTATTTTCAGGGGATGTGTTATTTTTTTTAATCTACATTGATTCAAATACAGTTAAGTTGTCTTCTTCTGGAACATCATCATAACTCTCCAAACCCTGAACTCCATCCTGAATTTTTTGCGACTCTATTTCCTCTAGAACCATTGGCCCCCAAACTGTCATGTCGAGCAATAGAGCTCTCATGGGGCAGATGAGAAGGGCTGCTCGTCTTCTTTACTGTTCCGGGACGGAATGCATGGGTTGTGCAGATGCGCTGCACAGCCACGCCCGTCACTAGGTCTGATTTTCAGGGTGGGGCTTCTATTTTGCAAATGCTTAGAAATCCTGCTAGGGCTTCTTTTATGGGTAGGTCTTGTTTTCAGGGGAAACACGGTAGATGCCAATCTGCTAAAAGATGTCCCCTTAATGCATAGTTGGTTTAAGGACAGCATGTTACAAAACAATAAGGCATAGTTGCCATACACAGCCCTCGGCACTTGTCCTGTACCCTAGTTCTGCCTGTGTGTCCTGACAATCGGGCATCTTAACTGCCCATCTCTGGCCAGAGGGGAATCTTCCACCCTAGTGGTAGGAATCTGAGTTCCCGCTAGCTCTAACACTGGCTGACTGAAGTGGCCAGGGGCCCAGAATAAATCTGAAAGATAGTTAGGCCACAAGGACTGAAGTCCTAGGCAAGTCCTACTGCTGTGCTGGGCTGGGGGCCAGTGGATTTGGGGTGCAACCATAGTGAGACACCAGCTGTGGCAGCCAAGTGAGTGTCGGTGTCACTGTTCCCCCAAGTCCAGGCAGTATGGCTTGGGGAGAGACTCCTCCCGCTTGGGGAAAGGAAAGGGAAGAATATAGAGAATACTGTCTTGCAACTGGGGTACCAGCTCAACCACAGTAAAATAAAGGACCAAGCAGACTCCAGAAGCCCCTGATTGCAGGCCTTAGCTCCCGGATGACATTTCTAGACCCACGCTGGGCCAGAAGGGAACCTGCTGTCCTGAAGGGAAGGACCCAGTCCTGGATTAACCACATGCTGAGTGAAGAGCCCTTGGGCCCTGAATAAACACCAGCAGTAGCCAGGTACTGGTTGCCACTAGCTTTGGGCAAAACCTAGGATTGTGCCGTCTTTAGGTGTGACCTGGAGAAGTCCCAGCGGTGGGGACCATGGAACTTGTGTCACTCCTTGCCCAATCAAGTAACAACAGGGCAGTCATAAGTCCTTACCTATTGCCAATGACATTGAATGTAAATGAACTAAACTCTCCAGTAAAAAGATACAGAGTGGCTCAGTGGATAAAAAACCCAGACCTAATTATATGCTGCCCACAAGAAATTCATTTCACCTATAAAGAGACACATAGACTAAAAATAAAGGGATAGAAAGCTACAAGCCAATATCTCTGATGAACATATATGCAGAAATCCTCAACAAAATACAGCAAATTGAACTGAACAATACATTAAAAAGATAATTCATTATGATCAAGTGGGATTCATCCCAGGGATGCAACGATGAGTCATGATATGTGAATCAGTGTGATAGATCATATCAACAGAATGATCATTTCAACTGATGCTGAAAAAGCATTCAATAAAATTCAATATTGCTTCATGAGAAAAACTCAAACAACTGGATATAGAAGGAATATGCTTCAACATGGTAACAGCCATATACAACAGACCCACAGCTAGTATCATACTGAATGGAGAAAAATGGAAAGCCTTTCCTCTAAGATGTAGAATAAGACAAAGATGTCCACGTTCATCATTGTTATTCAACATGGTACTGGAAGTGCTAGCTAGAGCAATCAGACATGAGAAGGAAAAAAAGGGCATCCAAATTGGAAAGGAAGAAGTCAAATTATCTTTGTTTGCAGGTGATATGATCGTGTATTTGGAGAAACCTAAAGACTCCACCAAAAAAAATAATAGAATGGATAAACTCAGTAAGGTTGCAGGATACAAATCCAACATACAAAAATCTTCTATATGCCAACAGTGAACAACATGAAAAAGAAACCAAGAACGTAATCCCACTTAAATAGCTACAAATAAAATACCTAGGAATAAACTTAATAAAAGAAGTGAAAGATCTCTATGATGAAAACTATAAAACATTGCTGAAAGAAATAGAAGAGGACACCAAAGAAATGGAAAGCTATTCCATACTCATGGATTGGAAGAAATTAATACTGTTAAAATGTCCATACTACCCAAAGCAATCTACAGATTCTATGCAATCCTCAACAAAATATCAATGATATTCTTCACAGAAATAGAAAAAAATAATCCTAAAATTTATTCAGAACCACAAAAGACCCAGAATAGCCAAAGCTGTCTTGAGCAAAAAGAATAAAATGGAAGAATCACATCATATGACTTTAAATTATACAACAGAGCTGTAGGAACCAAACAGGATGTTACTGGCATAAAAAACAGACACACAGACCAATGGAACAGGATATAGACCCCAGAAATAAATCCACATATCTAGAGTACACTCATTTTCAACACTGGTGCCAAGAACACACACTGGGAAAAGGACAGTCTCCTCAATAAATGGTGCTGGGAAAACTGGATATCCACATGCAAAAAGAATGAAACCCGACCCTTCTCTCTCACTGTATAAAAATCAAATCAAAATGGATTAAATATTTAAATCTAAGTATGAAACTATGAAACTATGAAAAGAAAACATTGAGAAAATGCTTCAGGACATTGGTCTGGGCAAAGATTTCTTGAGTAATATCTACACAGCACAGGCAGCCAAAGCAAAGATGGACAAAAGGGACCACATCAAGCTAAAAAGCTTCTGCACAGCAATGAAACAAACTGAAGAGACATCCCACAGAATGGGAGAAAATATTTGCAAACCATCCATCTGACAAGAGATTCATAACTAGAATGTATAAGGAGCTCAAACAACTCAATAGGAAAAAGTCAAATAATCTGATTTAAAAATGGGCAAAAGATCTGAACAGATATTTCACAAAAGAAGACGCACAAATGGCCAATACATACATGGAAAAATGTCCAACACCATCAATCACCAGAGAAATGCAAATCAAAACTACAATGAGATATCATTTCATCCTACCTAAAATGGCTTTTATCCAAAAGACTGGTAATAATGAATGCTGGTGAGGATGTGGAGAAAGGGGAACCCTCCTACACTGTTGGTGGGAATGCAGATTGGTACAGTCACTATGGACCACGGTATGGAGGGTCCTCAGAAAACTAAAAATAGAACTACCATGTGATAGACCAGTCCTGCTGCTAGGCATATATCCAAAAGAAAGGAAATCAGTATATCGAACAAATATCTGCACTCCCATATTTATTTGCAGCACTATTCACAATAGCCAAGACTTGGAATCAACTTAAGTATCCATTAATGGATGAACAGATGATGAAATTGTGATACATATACACATAAAAAAGAATGAAATAAGTTAAGAACAGAATGACAAATTTGGCATGTTCTCACTCAAATGTGGGCACTAAAAATTAAAACAATTGATGTCATGGAGACAGAGAGTAGAATGATGGTTTTCAGGGGCTGGGAAGGGTATTGGGGAGGGGGGAGAAGAAGGGGATGGGTAATGGGTGCAAAGATATAGTTAGATAGATTAAGATCTAGTATTTGATAGCACAACTATAATAAGTTATGGTATACCTTAAAATAAATAAAAGAGTAGAATGCGAATGTTCCTAACACAGAGGAATGATAAATACTGGAAGTGATAGATACCTCAATTATCCTGACTTGATTATAATACATTGTATACCTGTATCAAAACATAACATGTACCCCATAAATATATACAACTATTATGAGTACATTAAAAAATTAAAAGTTGAAAAAATAACAGTGACTCATATTTAAAATTGGCAATAAACCAATACTATAATGCTATTTATTAGAGGTGGCAAAACTAAAACAGCAAGGCACCATGCAATGCAACTTCAAAATAAATTGTTTGATTTCAGTACATACCCTTGGGTATTTTGTATCCAGTCTCCCCTGGTTTTCTGAGATTCCTTAGGATATGATCTGAATGGATGTTTATCAGCATGCCTATTAACCACAAGACAAAACCTAAAGAAAAAAAAAAATACAAGAATGTTATGCTTAATGAGTTACAAAATTTTAAGAGCCCAAGGCTGATGGAACAGTATTATTGTAATCCTTCACATTCTAATTATTAGTACCACATATTAGCCATGACTGGTAGTAAAAATCATTAAGCACTATTGTCAGGTGTGCCAAATAGGGCTTTGTTTTTCTAATAATACTAACAAAGTATCTAATCCATTCAAAATACTTTAACTTGATAGCCACAGTCTATGTTTTTAGGATGACAGGTATGAACAGAAATGTGACTGATGACTGGCACAGGGCTCCTTTCCGGGAGAGGTGTCGGCAGCCTCCGGGAGTCAGCCCACCAGGCAGGGCCATCTCACAACAGCTGCTCGAGGCAGTGCTACCATCTCCACCTTCCAGGCAAGGAGAGGCGAGGTACTAGTACTAGCTGCACACAGGCCCCTTGAGCTGGTCCCCTTCTTTCATTCCAAGCGCGCCTGAACAAATTAATGCGTGTCCATGCCTTCCCCACGACGGATCTCCTGGGATTTCACCGATCAGCATTCCTCGGTCAGTTCTTCCTTCCCAGCTCCTGACAAGAATCTTCCACTGCCGGCTGCAGGCCTCTCCCAGCCCCACAGCGCCCCAGTGGTTTCTCTCCCACCCTCACAAATATTCAGGGGCTTTTCATCGCTTAAAGGAGACTTCTAGGTATTACATCAATTAATTCCAACAAGAGAAGGCAAAATGCCAACACAGTGTTTTATAAAAGAGGTTGATTTGATCGTTCGTGAAAGGCAGATGGTGCTTAATGGTGGCATTCGATTCAATATCAAAGAAATGTACTTTTGGGGTATCATTATTATTAATTATTCATCACTTATCTCAGTGACATTGAATAATTTTTCAGTTAGAACAAGGGACAAGGACATGGAAAGCCTTCTGCAGACAGGGTTTCAAGATTTTTTGTTTTCCTGATTTCACCACTGTAAGCAGCTTTTTTTTGCTAAGCAGTTCATATCAAATTTCATAAGTCATTTATTGTGTCCATAAATTTATCATCAATTTGCTACCTTTTTTGGATTTCAGTATGTCGCCTTTAGGTGATTTTGTTTCCAATATGTAGGTCTAGAAAGAATCATGTCTAAACAACGTGCTTACTTTATTTTTCTTCTAGGAGACAAGTTCCCTTTATTGATTGGATTGGAGGAAAACCAGTATTTGTGTTTATCTAAGCTAAACATTTAATTCCATTTGTAGGGATCTTAAAATACTTATATAAAATCTTTCAGATTAACCACTTTTACTATTATAAAAATCTTTTGTTAGAATTTTATTATTATTTGCTTAGCTCTTCGTGGTAACTATGTAAATATAAATTAATTACTCATGTGATTGCATGTTTGTCACAAAAACAATAAACTCTACGAAATAAATTTAACACAAAAGGTAACCTAGTTTATTTCCCAATTGGCATGTTTTTCATTTTCGAATCCTCCTGTTTAATTGCAGAGAAGCCAAGAGGTGGGTATAAAATTTGTTGGTGTCTTAAATTTTAGACCAGTTTCTTTTTTTTTTGAGACAGGGTCTCACTTTTTTGCCCAGGCTAAAGTGAATGCCGTAGCGTCAGTCTAGCTCACATCAACCTCAAACTCCTGGGCTCAAACAGTCCTCCTGCCTCAGCCTCCCGAGTAGCTGGGACTACAGGCATGCGCCACCATGCCCGGATAATTTTTTCTATATATATTAGTTGGCCAATTAATTTCTTTCTATTTATAGTAGAGATGGGGTCGCTCTTGCTCAGGCTAGTTTCGAACTCCTGACCTTGAGCGATCCTCCTGCCTCGGCCTCCCAGAGTGCTAGGATGACAGGCGTGAGCCACTGCGCCCCGCCTGGAATAAAATTTTAATTCACTGAAAAAATTATGACTGAGAAATGTGAAAGCTTATAAACTCGTACACATAGAGAAAAAGCAAAATGAAATGTAAGGTCAATTTACATAGCTTAAGGGCCGGGCGAGGTGGCTCACGCCTGTAATCCCAGCACTCTGGGAGGGCGAGGCAGGTGGATCGCTCAAGGTCAGGAGTTTGAGACCAGCCTGAGCAAGAGTGAGACCTTGTCTCTACTAAAAATAGAAATAAATTAATTGAACAACTAAAAATATATAAAAAAATTAGCCGGGCATGGTGGCACGTGCCTGTAGTCCCAGCTACTTGGGAGGCTGAGGCAGGAGGATTGCTTGAGCCCAGGAGTTTGAGGTTGCTGTGAGCTAGGCTGACGCCACAGCACTCTAGCCTGAGCAGCAAAGTGAGACTCTGTCTCAAAAAAAAAAAAATGTATGTAGCTTAAGGTGAAGCATTGCAGGTTAGTTTGAAAATTTGACAGACCAATTTCAGACTCTTAGAAATGCTACTACCATGGGCATGAGCGCCACCTGAATACGCTCATTTCTAAATGCTGGAAGGACTAAATAGATACAGACGAGCCTACCTTCTGTATAAGATTTCCTCGGGTTATGAATTTTTAACACTCTTGCAAATATTTTCGATGACAATATTTTCAATTTTGCTCAGAACTTATAAGGTTATAATTACTAGTTGAAAATGTACATTAATTCACGTTAATTGATGCAAGTAAAAGAATTGAAAATCTTCAGAAAAGTCTATTCAAGTTCATATAAGTACAGAAATCTAATTGCATTGTTGGAAGATCACCCAGTCTGGCTTTTTCTCATGTCACAGAAGAAGCTGTAGGAGGCTCAGGGCCAGTCTTAGGTCATGTGGCCAATGAGGCCCAGGTCTCCTTGGTTTTATTAAGAGTCCCTGCAGCTTGTTGCTATTTTTAGGCTTTCAGTCTGAATAGGCATCTGTGCTTCAGGCCAGAGTGGGCGAAGGTGTCCTGCACCTGCATCACCTCCCTGCCCCGGGCCGTGCCCTGCCGTGGGGCGGGGACAGCCTGACTGTCCCTCGGGTTGGCTCCAGCCTCCTGCTGCTCTCTCCTCTGGGGAGAGCTCGTGGACCATATCACGCAGACTGTTTTCTCCAGAAGTTTGAGCTATCCACCTAGAAACTCCTGGGACGTGAAGACAAAAGCGATGACTTGAATGTGGTGGCGTTTGTAGCCGTGGACACTCACCTATTAGAAAGCGGGGGTCTGACACCCAGTCATCGGTGTACACTGCATATTGGCTCAAGTATCTGCTTTGCAAGTAGCCGTTGTAGGTGCAGAAAAAAAATGCTATCACACAGGAGTACAGCGGCGTCGGTTTTCCTCCCCGAATCAGAAATGGGAAAATCAACGACCTTGGGAAACAAGAAACAGAAACGAATTTCAAAGAAAAAGACTATCATTTCTGTAATTCTATTTTAAATGCCTTGGGTTCTTAGTCTTGCTTTCTTATACAGACGCTGTCCTCAGTAACACTCACGCTGATTTACTGTATCTATGCTAAACGCGGATTTCTAGATGAAGAACTAACCACGTCTCTGTAACTCACACCGCGCCGCACAGACTCGCGGTTCTATTCACGCAGAGTATGAAACAGCACACTGAGCTGCAGGGAGCTGGGGGCTTCAGGAGGCTCTCACAGCTTCTACTGCCCTAAAACCAGGAACTCGTCCCAGTCGGAGCACTGGGATTCGGGGCACACCATCGCACCATCCGTCACCACGGCAACGGCTCCCACTCCCTGAGCACTCGTCACCTGCGAGGCCTCCCGCTGCCTGGGCAGGAGGCCCTGCCGCCCAAGTCAGACAGAGGATGAAATTAAGGCTCCATCCGAGTGGTTGAGTAAGCCACTCAAGCTCACAGGGCTGAGTTTAAACGTAACTCTGGGTCATACAAAGACCATGTTCTTTCCTTATTCCCCACTGGCTTAGAAGTGCCCTACAAAAGGCCTAAAGAGAGGAAATAAAAGGACAAGAAATTAGAAACTTATATGCACTGGATTACTGGGAATAAAAAATAAAAAAAAAGAAATTAGAAACTTATAAAGAAAAAGGAATGCAAAACTTTATTTTATTTGAATTTTTTTTTAAATTTCCATGTGAAATACATTGAAAGAGACTATAAATTCTACAACCCATAAGAGGATAATAGGGAACCATTATGAATAACTTTATGCCAATAAATTTGACAACCTGATGAAATAAGCAAAGTCCTTGAAAGATACAGATGAACAAAACTGACCCAAGAAGAAACAGACAACTTGAGTAGCACCATATCAATGAAAGAAATTGAATTCAGACTTACAAAATCTAGAAAAGGCAAAACTAGACTCAGAGGAGGGGATTAACTGCAGAGAGGCAAGAAGGAACCTTTTAGTGGAATATTACTGTTCTATATTTTGTTTGCAAAGTTGAAGGCCAGGCATGGTGGCCTGTAATCCTGTACACACCTGTAATCCTAGCACTTTCAGAAGTTGAGGTAGGAGGAATGCTTAAAGCCAAGAGTTTGAGACCAGACTGAGCAACATAGCAAGATTTCATGTCTATAAAACATTTAAGATGATTAGCCGGGTACAGTGGTACACACCTATAGTCCCAGCCATTCAGGAGGCTGAGACAAGAGGATCCCTGGAGCACAGGAGTTTGAGGTTGCAGTGAGCTATGATGATACCACTGCACTCCAGCTCAGGCAACAGAGCAAGACCTTGTCTCCAAAAAACAAACAAACAAGCAAAAACAAAAGCAAAAAACCAAAACTGGACTTAGACTTATGAAATCCAAAAAAAAGCAAAAGTAGAGTCAGGAGAGGGGACTAGCCACAAAGAGCCACAAGAGAACTTTTTAGAGTAATACAACTGCTCTATATCTTGAGTCTGGCAATGATTACACAACTACTGTATGTAACCACCAAAATTCATCAAACCACAGACTTAAAATGAGTTAATTTTATTATTTGTAAATTATACTTCAATACCACAGAAAAAATTTAAAAGCTTATTTGTTTTCATTCTAGTCATCTACTCCAGGTTCAAACCATATCAGTCATTAGTTATTACTGTAACAGTAATAATAATAGCATGATAATAGTAATACAATGTTGGCTATATATCCTCAATGTATTTTCTCATCAATAGTATCACTCAACTCCTTGGAAAACATTCACACGTATCAAAAGAAGTCTTCAAGGTTCTCATTGCATTCAAGCCAGGTCCCCAAAGATTACTTTGTACAGGTGTAGAGCAAAGCAGTCTAGCTCACAGCAACCTCAAACTCCTGGGCTCAAGTGATCCTCCTGCCTCAGCCTTCCAAATAGCTGGGACTATAGGCATACACCATGTCCAGCTAATTTTTTCTATTTTTAGTAGAGACAGGGTCTTGCCCTTTTGCTAGCTGGTCTCCAATACCTGAGCTCAGGCAATTCTCCTGCCTCAGCCTCCTAGAGTGCTAGGATTACAGGCATGAGCCACCGCGCCCAGCCTCTCACTTTGTCTTCACATTCCTTTTCCTTGTCTGTCACTAATGTTCTGGGTCTGCGATGGCAATGTGAATCTAGATCGCCTGTTGGCAAACTATGGCCCATGGGCCAAACCCAGTTTACCACCTGTTTTTAGGTGAGCTAAGAATAGTTTTTACATTTTTAAATATTTGAAAAACAAACAAAATAATATACACTATGACACATGAAAAGAATATGAAATCAAATTTCAGTGTCCACAAATAAAGTCTTTTTTTTTTTCCTGAGACAGAGTCTCGCTCTGTTGCCCAGGCTAGAGTGCTGTGGTGTCAGCCTAGCTCACAGCAACCTCAAACTCCTGGGCTCAAGCGATCCTCCTGCCTCAGCCTCCCGAGTAGCTGGGACTATAGGCATGCGCTACCATGCCCGGCTAATTTTTTTGTATATTTTCAGTTGGCCAATTAATTTCTATTTTTAGTAGAGACGGGGTCTTGCTCTTCTTGCTCAGGCTGGTTTTGAAACCCTGACCTTGAGCAATCCTCCCGCCTCGGCCTCCCAGAGTGCCAGGCACAAATAAAGTCTTATTGGAACACAGCGGAGGCCATTTCTTTACGTATTGTCTGCAGCTGCTCTCGTGTTCTGACAGTGGAGTTTGCACGGGGCAATCTGGTGACTGTGCCCTGCTGCTCAGCAGGCTGCAGATCTGGGACACAGTTTTAACTTGACAGAGTTGTGAGTGCCACGTGCCATGTGCATCACTGTACCACACGTCTTAATTTTATTATCGGTGCATACCCATCACATCAAAACAAGTGGACCTAGTCTCCTGACAAGAGACTCAGCGCCTATCACAATACTCCCAACTCACAGGAAAGTGATGGTAAGAAAAAGTAGAAAATTTAAAACAGAAGCTTATCATGGCAGCATTCCTTCACAAAAGAAATGAAAATGAGGCTGCAATCCAAGTAAGTGATCAAGCGGCTCATTTGTCAGTGAAGCAAGGAAAGTTGTGTATTGAGTTAATTAATTGCAGCAGCCTAAGAGGCATGTCCAGAGGATATAAAATTAAGATGACTAGCCTTTCCGTGATAACAGGTGCTTGAGGAGTTAAAGGTGCTGGGAGCAATATCAACAGTCAATTACGAAACAAGGCAAATTTTGCCTTGCAAACCAGTCCTCCTCCACAAGTCTAGCCACGTTGGTTGTTGTTTATTCAAGCAGTCAGTGTAAGGATGAAGTGACTGAAGAAATTAGGCTCTCTCAATAGTCTGTGTGGAACAACTACTGGTGAGAATGTTTTCAAAGAAGTTGAGAAAACACTAATTTAGTAGACTTCCAAAGTGGAACCTACTAAGATGTTACAATTGATAGTGGTAAAAATGGATGGAACAGAAAAACCAAAAAATTACAACTTTACAAGACTTGTGGAATTGTAAGGTGTTAAAAGCTAATTCTTGCATCAGAAAGTCCTTTCTAGAAAATCTACCGTGTGTGATTGGGCCAGCGGTATCAACAGTGAATGTGACAATCCCTCTCATGGACTTAACTATTATCAGTTCTGCAACTTTTTGTCAGAAATAAGCTGACTGTCCTGATTTGTCCTACCACACAGCAGTTTGATGGCCTGGTAAAGTCTTCTTGCATTATTTTGAGCTCAGAGCTGAGATTTAAACTCTTCTGAACAAGACCTGCCCTCAACCACTACTACTGAGTTCTGAAGGGCTTTGGAATATAGCTTTTGTCACAGACTTGATAATGCAGCCTAATAAATTCAACCTAAAATTAGAAGGCAAAACACCACTTATGTGCAAAACTTCTGTGTTAAAGTCATTTCAATGACAACACTGTTTGAATCACAAGTCATGTTAAATTGCTTTAAGCACTTTCCATGCTGTTAAAATTTTTTAAAAATGAGCTCTCCATTCTCACCATACATTTGCAGTGGACACAATTTCTAAGCTCAAACTAAAGCCCTAATAGTGTTGGTGAACCTGGATTTCCATACTTCAAAATCCATTTAACTGTGTAATTGAGAAGTTGTCACCTAAGAGTGAACAGAAAGATGTTAATCTGCAATGTAATGACATACTGGAAAGCAAATACCCAGAGAAGAATCTCACAGAATCCCAAGGTTGCCTTCCGTGTGAGGGGTGCATGTGCTCAATGAAAACCATATACTTGTGCACTGATATCAACATTTGCATTTTCAAAGTAAAAAATACATAAAATCTCATTACAGAGAAGCACTAACAGATGAGCATTTACAACAGATTTTGATAATAGAGAACACTAACTTTGAATCCCAATGAGTAAAGTGTTATTATTCCTCACCAAAAAAAAAAAAAAAAATTCTATTCTCATTAGACCTGTATTACAAACTTGCACTAACAATTATATTTTGAATTTAGTGACTGAAATTTTTGTGAAAATGTGTTCTCTCCTTATAAATACCTACACAGTGTGTCTTGGCTCACAAAGCTTAAGACATGCACTATCTGGCTCTTTCCGGGAAAGGTTTGCTGACGGCTGGTCTGGGTTCAGACAGGCATGTTGATTCTGGAGGCATCTCTCTGACTTCCTCGGAGCGTGTTCTTGCGTAAGGCGCTGGCACTCGATGGCGGGCAGCTGCCGCAGACGGGGCTTGGCTGTGCTTTGGGGCGAAGGACGTGCTTCTGTGTGTCCAGTTACAGGACCACGCCTGCTTCTGCACAAGCCACGGGGGAAACTGGAAGGTGTTCCCAAAGGACCCTGGGAGAAGGTCTGGTCCCTGTCTGGGGTCTCACGTGAATGCTAGCAAAGTGGCGAGGCTGGAAGCTGGGCCTTACCAAGACTGATCCCTGCCTTGACGCGGGCAGCAGTGACCCAATGCCCACAGGCCCGCTGTAAAACCAATGAAGTCAGC